TCTGCGGCCTGTGGGGCCGCAGGGCGCTGCCGATGGTCTAGGATACATTCAAGTGCCACAAGTATCGGCGCCCGGACTTGGGCTGAATCGATCGGTTTCTCCCGGCGACCCAACCCATTGCCACCAAAGCAGGTACCCAAAAAGTCGACTCGGCGCCCGGACTTGTGCTGAATCGATCGGTTTCTCCCGGTGACCTAACCCATCACCACCAAAGCAGGTACCCAAAAAGTCGACTTTTTGGGTACCTCCCAGATTTACCATCGGTCTAGGGTACATTGAAGTGCCACAAGTATCGGCGCCCGGACTTGGGCTGAATCGATCGGTTTCTCCCGGCGACCCAACCCATTGCCACCAAAGCAGGTACCCAAAAAGTCGACTCGGCGCCCGGACTTGTGCTGAATCGATCGGTTTCTCCCGGTGACCTAACCCATCACCACCAAAGCAGGTACCCAAAAAGTCAACTTTTTGGGTACCTCCCAGATTTACCATCGGACGTCATCGCTTGCATGAACCCGGTGATGCTGAACCCTTCTCCCCATACAGGATGTCATTGCCTAAGAATTCAGACCCATCACCACCACAGCAGGTACCCAAAAAGTCGACTTTTTGGGTACCTCCCAGGTTTACCGTACGTGATCTCTTGCATGAACCCCGTGGTGATGATGATGCGTTCTTCACCGAAAGGCTGACAGTTTTTGGTGCAAATCCGGGAACCTACGTGAAGAGGACATGCAAGAAAATTTTTGGAAAAGCACCCTCCCGAATAACCAAAGCCTAGAGCATTCCTAGCATCTAGTCGAAAACGTTACGTGATCTCTTGCATGAACCCCGTGGTGATGATGATGCGTTCCTCACCGAAAGGCTGACAGTTTTTGGTGCAAATCTGGGAACCTACGTCAAGAGGACATGCAAGAAAATTTTTGGAAAAGCACCCTCCCGAATAACCATGGAGCCTAGAGCATTCCTAGCATCTAGTCGAAAACGTAACAAAATCTAAGTGCAGCCAAGAGTATTCCTAGGAAAAATCACGGGCATTGGCCGGGAACTAGCAGAAGGTTACCAATTTTTCGGGTAAATCTGGGAACCTAAAAAGAAGAGGAAGCGCTAGAGAATTCTTGGAAAAGCATCCAGCCGAAAACATAACAAAATTTAGACAAAGCCCAGAGCATTCCTAGGAAAATGCTAGAAAAGCCTTTGAAAGCTCCATAGGTTAGCAAAAGGTTACCAATTTCTGGGAGAAATCTGGGAACCTAAAAACAAGAGGAAGCGCCAGAAAATTCTTGGAAAAGCCTCCAGCCGAAAACATAACAAAATCTAGACAAAGCCTAGAGCATTCCTAGGAAAATGCAAGAAAAGCCTTTGAAAATCTCATAAACCAACAGAAAACGTGACAAAATCTACCAAAAAAACAAGGGCATTGGCCGGGACCATGCCGCGACCAGCCCGGGATTCGAGCCCAGGACCATTTTGGACCGTGCTTATTTTCCTGCGCGGGTCGAGAGGGTGCCCCAAGATGTAAATCAATTGGGATGGCAGAATCTTGGACAATCCAGGTCACCATCAGTCGCTTTTAGGGCAGAATTTCGTCACTGTAACAAGGGTCCGGAGGGGTAGGGGAGGTAAGGTCTAGGTCTAAGGCTAAGGACTAGGTCTGAGGCTAAGGATAAGGCCTAAGGCTAAGGCTAAGGCTTAAGGCTAAGGCAACATCGACAGTCACGCCTCACCCCACGGTGTGGGGTCGGCGGATTCTTCCTTGTCAGCATGTTTCAACCTGTAATCTCCTTTGCACATTTTTGCACCAAAGTTGGAGAGCTGGCACGGTGGGTTTTTGTGGATTTGCTGACCAAGCTTTGGACACTCTCAGAGTCTTTGCCTTTCTGAGCTCTCAGCCATTTTTTCGACTGCGCTGGAACAGCCGAAGAATTGCATTCTCTCACCTTAGCGATGCACTGCATCATGATTGGCCTGCTTTTGCTTTTGTGCTTGCTTTTGGTTGGCGGCGTGAACGATGACCAGCCGGACCAGCCTGAGCCACCCTACCACGTAGTTGTTCTCAACAACGCTGTGCGTTCTTAGTTGTTGTTTTTTCATGCTTCGTGCGCGTTGTTGCTGGGCAGGCATTAAGAGACTGGATTCTGGCGATGGCATTCAATGCGTGGGCCCGTGTTTGGCAGGAAGGACATGAGGTAAGCTGTGTTTTTGCCGACGTACGTTACGAAATTCTTTTTGGTTGCTTTTCAGGAATTGCGGGGCCTGGCAAGAATGCTGAAAAAATACAACCAGGAGGAGAATGGCAAGAATGGCAAAAATGGCAAGAATGGCAAAAAAGGCCGCAAGGCCTGATAAAGAGGCCAAGGCCTCCGTTGAGCATGCGCGCCGCGTTCGCGCTACTTTCCTTTTGTCTGAGAAGGAGACAAACAAACAATCCCAACATGAGTTGATGATTATGCAAGCCAAAGACATGCCATGTTGAAGTCGCATTTTCCTGCTTTCCTTGCTGGCTCGAAGCTGCAACTCAGGAGAAGCATGGTTTCCCTGCCTGTGATGTACCGCTGATGGGATGGCGTAGTGACCAAGAATCTGCCAGCGGGCCTGGGCTGGATTTGGCATTCGGGAAAACATATCCTTCACTTTATGTTTCATAAGTTCATTTCTATGTTTTGCACTGGGCACCAAACGTCAGGCACATCAAAGGACGGTCTGGTTGACTCAGCATGGGCATGTGCCCCAGGTTCTGACTGGTGTTGATAACAGAGATGTTCTTCTTGACCATGTAAGCCAAATCCAATGCCTCAACACACTGGTGGGTTCCAGGGTTCAGTGTCAGCTCGAATGCACATGGACCTTGCCTGCATCTCGCGGGCTGTTGTGACAAACTTTGCTGCAGTGGGGTGCTTCTTCCGAAAGACTCCCAAAAGAAAGCCCGGATGCTTACCTCATGGGCGAGAAGCACATCATGTAGCCATCTAGCCAAAAAGTGCAGTGCACTCAAACAGCTTAGCACTGAATTTAGGCAATAGGGGGCCTTCTGCTCGTTTGCCCAAATCCTGTCGCGCTTGACCCACTTTGCGCCCTGATTCACCTTACTTAGCTGTAGTTGAGTTGGATATCTCACATGCGATCGCACTGTGCATAAGCATGGTACACGCAGCAAGGAACCTCATTGCGTTTGTAGTTTGCTGATGGATTCTTTTGTTGCAATCAGCGACCATTTTGGGATGATCATCCGGTAGAAGAAGGTCTTGCCTGAGTCTCACTTGGCAAGGGCAAAAGCAAGCGCAAGTTCCATGTGTGCGGGAGTTTGGCCAAAGTGCCAAGAATATGAATCGCTTGGATCAATCTTCATAGACTTCATCAAATCGTGGATATGATTTTGCAGGTTCTCAGCATCGATACCAGGACGTAGGACATCCCTTCGCACCAATAGGATATACAACCTCCGTCTCGACAGCGGGGCTCCAAAATAGGACCTTGGCTTTGGGGCATGTAAACAACAGAAAGCCGTAAGCATGCAGTAGCAGTTGTGCAGTTTTACACTGTTCAACGCTTCCACGATGCGGAGTGATGGCAAGTGATGCCTCCAAATACCTGTTGAAAAGTGTTGCATCAAATAGCTTCAAACATGTTTAACAAGTTCTCAACACACCTGCTTCCAAGCCACTCTGGTAGGTTCTTCAGGATAAATTCTGTCACTTCATCATATACCCGCAAAACTCCGAGCACGTTTTCCAGCACGGTGACCTTGGATTAATGCTGAAGAACAAAAAGACTCAACAATCTCATTCAATTCAACAACTGGCTTCAATGTTTTATGTTGGCTTCATGACGAGAAACTGCTGGCTTCATCGTTTTGATGTTTGCGATGACTTTGAACAGCTGTTGGGCCTGTGGGTCACCCAAGAGCTTCGATGATCGATGGAGCAAAGAATATGGCGCGCAAGGAAATCCTGTGACATACAGGCAAACCTCAGCACACAAAACACTCTTGAATGTTTCTTTCATGACCCAATACAAATCCAAGTGCCTTGTTGGCCATCCACTTCACTTTTTTTGTGAAGATATCCTTTCCCAACCTCAGGCCACTAGGCATGTCAAATTGTTGACTAGTGACTAGTGCCTATCGTGCCCAATTCGGCCGGGTAGCTGTCGGCATCCAGGAAAGTTGGCTGCCAAAAAAGCCCGCTTGGGAGACTCCCACTCACTCGAAGACCTCAATGGCAGAACATACATGGCAGAACAAAAATATTGTGTTTGGGGATTTGTTTCAACTTTACCAAGGCACATGTAGCTGAGGTGGTCAGGGAACCCAGCAGCTTTCCACAACATACTCAATCCCATCCAGGGGGTGTCTGCACCACTGCCTCAGAGATTGAAGGTTTGGAGTCAGCATGCAAATGAATTGTTTGGAAAGATTTCCCAACCAAACCAAAGTGCAATCGCTGGAGAAGGTGAACAATGCTCCGAAACTTTGGATCCATCCAAGGACTCCTTGGCCAAAGAATCAAGCAAGTTGTATATTACACTTTCAACAGTTAGACCTAACAGCCAAGAAACCCGACTGTTGTCCAAACAGCTCCCCCACAGCCAGGTACCGACGTTGGTGGGCACTGATATATGTAGTGGAGTCCTGCCATTTGATATGTAGTGGAACCCTATAACAAAAAGCAAATTCAAATCCAATCCACTCCTCGTCTTCAGAATCGGATTCTTTTGAATCATCTGTAGCGCTCATCTCATTGTCTTCGAATCTCCATGGCATGGTCCCACCACTAGCTAGAAGATTGATCCACAACTAACTGCTGACCGAGCGGCAAGTCTTCTCAAGACTGCTTAAGACCTACTCCCTCAATGGAAAAGACCTGCTTGCAAGTGAACTGGCATACCTGCTTTTTGCTTTCTTGCACCAGTCGCTTGTTTTGTTTGTTCTCACCATTCTGACTCGCTTTCAGCTGGCTTGTGACTCGTTTGTTTAGGTGGTTTCCTTCTGAGCAGTTTGTGTCATGGTTTGCTTGCTTTCGCTTTTGCCTTTGCTTTTCATCATGGTTGGCGGCGTCAATGACGGTGATGAGCCTGAGCCGCCCAACCACCCGGTTGTCTTGCACAGCGCCGCGCGTTCTTAGTCAATTTGAAAGTTTCTTATGCCTTCTTTCTGGCTAGGCATTGCGCTATATAGTCCTGGCGATGGTCTTCAACGCTTGGGCCCGTCTTTGGCAAGAGGAACACCAGGTAAGCTGTGCTTTTTTGAGGCGCGTGTTGAAAATCATCATCCCAATCCTCACGTATAATATATATATATATATATGTGTGTATATATATATATTTACATTCTAGCATATTACGCTCAAATGTTTGCATGTACAGCCCATAAATACTCTGCTAGGGCACTGCAGACACGTGACTTATGACGTGTTTTGGCTCAAGGTGAAAAGGCGTTCCGAAACGTCGAAACCGCGTTTTCATGGTAGCGCACGAGTCCGGCGAGAGTGACAGGGACAAAGCGCTGCGCATAAAGGAAGAGAGACGCAAGGAAGTTGAGAGCCCCGAGGAGGAGCTGGAACCATCGGGAGCGGCAGCTTCTGCCGCCCCAGTTGGTATAGAGGAAGAAGAAGGAGTAAAAGAGGAGGAGAGCCTTTGCCCGAACAACCTTTGCCAACAGAGTCCACCGAAGCGGCAGATCCAGCCGCAGATTCCACTTCAGCGGTCGATCAGACCGCAGAGACCAAAGAGGAAAAGGAACAAGAAGTGGAAGGACCACAGGAGGAGGAAGAGCCTGAGCAAGATCCAGCAGTCGACCCAGCAGTTGACCCAGAAGGCTGATCCAGCCGATCGGCGACCAGGTATTCAAGGGGGTCGAATCATCGCCGACGTCGTCGCAAGTCAAGAAGGGGTTCAGACAGGTTGGGAGGTTCGTGGTACTGATACAAAGTTCACCCCAACCAAGGCATATCCCGAGGCACCGTGGAGGAAGCAGGTGAAGAAGCAAATTTGGGGCCAGGCCAAGTCAGCCAAAGTCCGGATTCAGACTCCGAAGCAGGGTTTCGCTGCAATATCGGAGGCTCAAGGATCTGGTCAGGCTGCAAAAGAGACAGGGTGTTGTCACAGAAGACCTGAGGAGGCGCATCAAAGATTTTGGCAAGGAGCGCCCAAAGCAGGAGATCAAGCTTGAGCGGGAAGAGCAAAAGGTCCGCCACAAGGAAAAGCGAATCAGGTACGGTCAGGTCCCAAAGAACGAGCAGGGTGAAGCGGCTGATCCAGCCGGTGAGGTCGAAGAAGAAGAGGAGTCGTTGAGCCTACCGGAAGAAGAAGAGGAGACTTCCGGCGTTCGATTGAAGAGTGCTCAGCGAGAAGAGTCCTCCAAAGTGAGATTGAGGGCGAGGAGTCGCAGTCCTGTGCGACAGCCTCGGACTCCAGAAGGGTCAGCCTCAGACCCACGATACAAATCGCGGCAGAGCGGTTTGGGGCCGGGCTTTGGAGCTCAATCTCCGAATCGTCGCCTTGGCAAATCAACGAGCTCAGAATCAGCGCATCGAGAACTGGAAGTTGGAAAGTCCCTTCCAGGTAAGGAAGATAGCAGCTGACGAGCTGGTGGAGCAGAGGGGCTTGGCTTGAAGGGCTCAGTGGCGCTTGCCGCAATCAGGGAGCTTTGGAAGACTCCCAACGAGCAGGGCAAGCTTGGTTCCTTCGAAGCTTGCAGCAGCTGCGACGAGCGCAAAAGGGCACAGCTTCCTGCCGTCCAGGCCTATATCAAGAAGAGGGGATTGAAAGGTCCAGCAAGGCTTGGAGCAAGTGCCAAAGCAAAAGAAAAAGTTGCGAAGCAGCACCTGCAATCGGCCGCAATCCAGAGGAGTTGACCTCTACGGGAGCCCGGACCACTTCAGAGGTCCGCGAGATCCCGAAACCTTCTTCTGAGCGTTCCCAAGGGTGAAAGCCCTGGGACCGGCCTGGTAAGGGGCCGGAGATCGGACGATCCGTCCGCAGCTGAAAAGGTGCGAGAGCAGCGCCTTCAGGGGGTTGAGACTGGGTTTTGGAACAACAGGTTCAACAGTTGTCTGACCTGGTTTCGCAGCTCCAGCAAAACCAGGCGCGTTTGGAACAAGAGAACCAGGTGTTACGAGAGTCGCAAGGAGGGGTAACCATGTTGGCTTCAGCAGTGGGAGTGGGAGAGCTGGCAAAGAGCCTTGAGAGAAAGGAGGATCAACGGAAGTCCCAAATAGTTATGGATACAAAAGGATTGGGACGCCCTGAGAGTTTCGGTAATGTTGAAGGGGAATTCCGAAAGTGGGCTAGGAGCATAGACAACCTGTTTGTAATTACCTTTGGGAGAGAGTTCATAGAGATCCTCGAGGACATCTTGGAGCAGGAAGACGCGATTGAAATGAGTCATACGGAGTCCGCATTTGGGGCTGGTACCATAGCAGCCATTGACAACTTAGAAGACAAAGCGGACCAAATTCATCGCGTCCTCCTGACTCTCACTTCCGGCGAAACCGAAGATCTCACGGTAGGAGCCTCAAATGGCTTTGAGGCATACCGAAGAGTCCACCGACGACGGGATCCCCGTACTTCGGGAAGAAAGAGAAACATCCTCAGGGCTATCCTCCAGCCAGAGCGGGTCAAAACTTGGACCGCCATGAGGCCAGCCATCAGCTGATCAGGAGGTACGAAGCCCGGCGAAACGCTTCAGGGTCTAGAGAGACCTTATCGGACGATATCAAGTCCGCTTCATTGGAGATGTTGGTACTCCCAGATTTGGAGAAACATCTTTTGTTGAACAAGAGTCGTTCGACATCCTATGCATTGATCAAGCAGGAGATTGAACTTGTCATGAACCTTTGTGGAGCTATGGCTGGATTCCAAAAGAACCACAAGACCAATTGACCAACCCTCTGCCCCTCCAAGGACATGGTTGTTGGCAAACCTTGGAACCACTTGAACTACAACCATGGCAAGGGTTGGCAGTGACCCTCGATGCCACGCCCAGCTCCTACGACAAGAGAGCACAGGCATGGAATTTTCGGGCTCTGCATACACACCTTTTCGCTTGGAACACTGGTCAGAAAAGGGACCATCGCTGGAATGCCAGCTGGACCGCAGACAAAAGCCCGGGCTCTGTTTCAAGGGCCATGGACCAACCCTAAGAAACGCAAAGGTTTCCATGACCTGCTCCAGGGCTTCCCTGATGAGCTGTTCAGCCGCATCACGCCTTTGTACATCCACCGAAATCAAAGGACCCCTGATGCACCAGGCAGCGAACCACACCTACGCCAAAGACAAGGGGATGCAGCTCTGGCAGCCTACGAGCGAGCCAACACCATGTATGACTCAGAAGCAGAAGCATGGCAGTGGACCCTAGACCAAGACCACTTGCAAGTGTATCAGCACGCTGCAGCCAGGCTGGAGAAGATCTACAAAGATCGCCAGCACTACATCCATGAGAAGCCAGTCCGGAGAGCAGGACACACCACAAAACAATACAAAAAACGACTCATCCAACAATGCCGCAATGCATGGAAGCAGGGCCATCACCAATGGAAACCACACCGCAGTGGGTTTCAGTGCCATACTTGCCAAGTACGAGTCCACCAAGGGCTGACCACAGAAACCATAGAGCAGAGACTCAATGAAAGTTGCGAGCTCCTGGAACATGAAGCTCCTGAGCCTGACCTTCCGGTTACCAGGGCAGTTGGGAAAAAACCACCAGGGCCAGCATCATTGCCGTTCAGAACCAGCATCCAACGGCAGCTGATGAGCACGCGTACCAAGAAACGACAGGCTACCTCGAATGCAGCAAATGCAACCTCTCGGTACACAAACGTGCCAACGAAGGCATTTTCGCCGCCTTCATCCGCAGCCGCTGCATAGACGAAGCCTATAGCAAAGCTCACGAGGCCCACGCCACGCACCAACTGTGGCAGAAAGGCAAAGGCATCAAGTGCATCAAATGTGGCACACGAAGCCATCTTGATCAGGCCGATAGGGTCATGTAGACCAAGAGCCTCAAGAAGGCATGCCACGGGCAGTCACAAGCCTCACCAACATTGGTGCAGCTTTTCAGTCAGCGCAAGACCAGTCAGAGTACAACAGGCCATGACACCCAGCCCGTACCACTGCCTCCAGACCGGCTGACGGTGCCGGAAGAAGGACCCTCGCCACCAGAGGCCCCTAAACCGAGCCCAGTCTCAGATGGAACAGAAGGTGCTGAAGAGAGCACTCCCGAGCACGACTACGAGGTGGATTTCTTCTGAGGGCAAGGCCGCAAACTGAGCCACAAAGGCTAGGGAACCGCCAAAACGGCGACCAGCACACTTTAGAAGAAAACACATACATACATACAAACATACAAACAAACAACCAAACAAACATGCGCATGCATACACAGATACATACATATCTCATCTCTCTTTCTCTCTGTATATGTATATATGTATATGTATATGTATATGTATATATGTACACATACATGTACCTACAGATACTATCATGCAGCGCGAAATCAACATACTTTGTGTTGTTAAAAGTTGATTTGCAATGGTTGAGTCATTGATGTACTTACAGTATGACTTTGTGTCTTTTGACCCTATGGACCAAAGAATGGAGGGCGGTGATGCTCAAAATTCATGGAAGGGGCCGAACCTGGCAGACCTTTTGTTTATAGGAGCAAGGACGCTACTATAGGGGCTCCTGGCCTTACTACTAGGAGCAAGAAACTACTAGGAACAAAGGGCGTCGCTATTAGGAGCAAGGGCGCTACTAGGGGTTCCTGGCCTTATTACTAGGAGCAAGAAGCTACTAGGAACAAAGGGCATCGCTAGGAGCAAGGGCGCTACTAGGGGCTCCTGGTCATACTACTAGGAGCAAGAAGCTACTAGAAACAGAGGGTGACGCTACTAGGAGCAAGGACGCTACTAGGGGCTCCTGGCCTTACTACTAGGAGCAAGAAGCTACTAGGAACAAAGGGCATCGCTACTAGGAGCAAGGGCGCTACTAGGGTCTCCTGGTCAAGGTCCACAGGGTGCCACTGAAGCTGCGAGGATTGCAGACCGAATTGGACACCGAAGAACCCAAAGAGCAAAAGCGCGACAGCAAATTGTGAATTCTCTGAATCAAATAACGTCAATAATGAGGACGCTACTAGGGGCTCCTGGCCTTACTACTAGGAACAAGGACGCTACCGAGACTTAGAGTTTTGGCACTTTCATGCATGGTTGACAGTTGTTTGCCAGGTGTGGCGTTGCGCCCCAAAACCTGGATGGCCCAGAGACGCGAGAGACTTGACTTCCAGACTTGTTTTGGAGTTTTGGGATATCCTTTGTCATCAATAGATGTTGGTCGAAATACAGCAGGCCGATGGTGCTTCCTCTTGCTTGCCACAGCCATGTATATCATATATTTTGTTTGCGCATTACCTGAATGATTTTCAGGGTAGAGGACGCTACTAGGAACACAGGGCATCGCTACTAGGAGCAATGACGCTACTAGGAGCTTCTTTCAATTTCCATCCGTCCAGGCCATGAACCCGTTGAATCTCGGGCAACTCCAACAGTGGAGGTGGGGAAGAAGCCTCGAGCGTCAGAAGCCTCGAGCGTCAGAAAGGGTATTGTCAGAAGCAAGTCCAGCTGCCGAACGTTTCCACCTGTCGTGGACCTGGACACTTGCATGAATGGTCCATGCTTTGGCGAACTCGCACTTCACAACATGACCATGTCATGACCATGTGATGACCATGTGATATCGCTAGTAGGTTGGAGGCCATCGCTACTAGGAGCAAGGACGCTATTAGGGGCTCCTGACCTTACTACTAGGAGCAAGAAGCTACGACCGGAACAAAGGGCATCGCTAGTAGGGTGATGCGTGCATTTGGGAGGCACCAGTCGCTGCACCAGTCGCTGCACCAGCCGCTGTACCAGGCGCGCCCGAGGCGCCTGAGGTGCCCCCTGAGGCTGAAGAGGCGGGGACCGAAGGGAACCGGATGCACCGCTGCGGCGTACGGTTAACCACCCCCGTCGAATGCCTTTCTCCCACAACGACTGGTTTTAGTCAAGCGGCAAGAACTCGGTGAAGAGAGATATCAATTTCTCTTCGAACGCGCATTCCAATCTCGAACGATCCATCACAGGCTGAGCAGTCCGCAGAGATACCTGAGATCCAGCAGGTGCAAGACTAAGCAAGACGACTGTGACACTAGGAGCAAAGAAGCTACTAGGGGCTCCTTACTACTAGGAGCAATGTTCGCTACTAGGGGCTCTTGGCATCGCTACTTGTGACCCATGTTGAAAAACATACTTTTTTTTCAAGCCCGCCCTTGCTTAATCAAGAAGGCGCCTACTTAATGAAGTAAGGGAGCTACTACCTACTGAACGCAGGATAGCGCTCGCACTGATGGATTTGGTTCTTAGAACTTAAGGGAAGCTTAGCAGCTTAACTAATGTGACGACGCTTGCAAGGCCTATGACGCTATGTTCGAGGATCAGTCAAGTGACGACGAGGACTTGGTGGTTGGCCTCTCAACTTTCCACAGTTCTCGCTTGGTGGAAGATCCAAATGTTGAAACTCTTAAAAAGAGAGAGAGAGAGAGAGAGAGAGAGAGAGGGGGAGAGAGAGAGAGAGAGATGGGAAGAGAGAGAGGGAGACCTAGGAGCGTCCTTTGTTCCTAGTAGCAATGTCAGCAGCCCTAGTAGCGTCCTTGCTCCTAGTAGCAATGCCCTTTGCTCCTACTAGCGTCCTAGAGGCACCTATTTGATTTTCTACCTTACATTCGACCTCAATATCCGAAGGTCTACCTACAGCGGAGACAGAGTGACTCACATGTTGCCGCCAGTTGGTCTTGAGGTGCGCACAGAATAAGCTGCCGCTGGGTGCGTGCAGCGGCCAATGCAGTGGCCAAAAAGATGATGATGGCGCGCGCCCAGAGCATTTACTTGTCATGCCTGTGGAGTCTGGAAAACCATTGGTCGAACCGTTTTTGTTCAAAGCCTCAGCATGTTTTAAGCAAGATCAAGCCGCGGCTCTGTGTTTGGTGCTGGCCTGGTTAACTTGATATTCTTCCTTGTCAGCATGTTTCAACGTGTAATCTCCTTTGCACATTTTTGCACCAAAGTTGGAGAGCTGGCATGGTGGGTTTTTGTGGATTTGCTGACCAAGCTTTGGACACTCTCAGAGTCTTTGCCTTCTGAGCTCCCAGCCATTTTTTCGACTGCGCTGGAACAGCCGAAGAAGTGCATTCTCTCACCTTAGCGATGCACTGCATTGAGCCAGACCCGATTTGCCCTGAAACCTACAGACGATGGTCTTTGTTCTTAAGTGCAGCGTCCTTGTTCCTAGTAGCGATGCCAGGAGCCCCTAGTAGCTTCTGGTTCCTAGTAGTAAGGCCAGGAGCCCCTTCTTAAGTGGCTAAAGTGTGGTATTCTTCTCCAGCCAATTCAAGCTCCAAACCTTTGAGCGCTCATATGGGCGGCCATGCAGCATGGGAGGTGGTCCTTCTAGGCAGCTCTTTGACTATGAAGAAGCAGCAACTTGGACATCGAAAGAGTTGTGAAAAGTTGTTTTCAACTCCTTCGATTGTCTCAAATCGTCTCAGGTGGCCGCTTTGGGCAGCGAAGAGGTGGCAAAGATCGAGGAAGGCTTCAATCGCCTGTCAGTGCGTGGAGAGCCACCGGGCTGGAGACATTGCAAACCTGGACGTTTCACGATCAATTGCCTTAGACTCCTCCAAAATGCAAACATGTAGACGCAAATCATGGCCTGAAGACACTGGATATCACACGTTTTGAAGAGCACCTGATAGCGGTCACAGTCTACGAAGAAGTTCTGAATAAGAGTGTTGTCCTCATCCTCTTACGGCCTTTTGTGTACATGTTTGCTAATGCATTGCTACTAGTAACAAGAAGCTACTAGGGGCTCCTGGCCTTACTACTAGCAGCAATGATCGCTACTAGGGGCTCCTGGCATTGCTACTAGGAGCATTCCTACTACTAGGAATCTATGAGTTTGGCTCCGTAAGACAGACACATCCACAGATACATCCACATACATGTACACACATACGGACCATACCCCGAAATACGCTACTAGGTTGGAGGCCATCACTCTTAGGTTGGAGGCCATCGCTACTAGGGTGGAGGCCATCACTCTTAGGTTGGAGGCGTGATGTTTCATGATGGTTTTGGTGTGTTGGCCGCGGATTTTTTGAAGCGGCTTTGAGGCTCCGCCCATCGGAGTTCCGCACGGGTTTCCTCAACTGCGCTGGCCCGGTGCCTGAGGCAGGGACTTCTGCCAAAGATTGCAAATATAGTATTGTATTTTTTACTTTCTTTATTTTTATACATGAATGTTTTGAATAATCTTTTGGGTTCCTACGTGGCGGGTTGCTTACCCAAGGCATTGGCAGAAGCGCTTTTCAACTGCTTCGACTCAAACTCCTCGGGAACCTTGGATGTGCCATGGCTTCCGGGACGAAGTATCGCGTCATATCATATCAGTGCATTTTTTGATTCTGTGCCGTGTTTCAAATCATATATATATATATAATGTATATAAAATTATGTATAAGAAAAGAAAAATCGATTTGTCAAAACGATCATCAAACCAGTTAGGTTCTGTGAGTTCAGGTGCAGCAATTCGTATGTGGTGTGGCAGTGATTTGGAAGGGCAGGCCGGGAATGGGGCCGGCGGCGATCTGTAAGACATCGACCGCTTCGCGGTCCAAGCCAGGCCAGAGCAGAAGCTGCGACTGCTCTTTATGGTCTATGACACTGACAAAGATCAGCGGCTGTGGCTTGGATCGCGTGCAGCCGCGCAGCAAATTGTTGGGATCGGAGGCAATCACTAGTAGGTTGGAGGTGTTCGCTGTTAGGTTGGAGGTGATCGCTTCTAGGTTGGAGGCCGTTGCTTCTTCCGACTTCAGAGATGTCTCCGTTTCGCTGCGGTCGAGGTCGGACCGAGACCTGAAGCGCTTCGCCCACGCCTTGAGCGACGGCCGTGGCCGCGAAACCGCCGAAGCCGCGGTGAACAGCGCTCTGAAGGCGAGGGGCGATGCAAGCATGGCTGAAGGAAAAAGGACAGGTCCAAAGATTCTAAAGGTGCAAATCACGGTGCAAACCTATGCAAAACTAATGAAAGTCACGAAGACATACAAAATAGATTAATATAAGCCCGTCTATTTCCTATTTTTGTCAGAAACGATGCCTATTTTGCGGTCGCTGCGTACGGTCATTCGAGCGAGTAGAAAAGAATTAGCAGAATGACTAGTCTGAAGCCGTTGAAAGAAGGAACACCTGACAGTATACCTGAAACTCTGATAAGCATATAATGTTCTGGACATCGGACATCTCCAACACAGGAGCTGCTGGCTGGCCACTCTGTCGTGAACTACGAGAAGTTTGAGCACTGGGCACGTCGCTTGGTAATCCAAACCCTGGATCGGTGATCAAGAATTGCTCTCGTCGTTGGATCTAGGCAAGGAGGTGCAACGCAGCCAAGGTGTATTTGTCGGCCTTCATATTCACGAAAACCATGTCGAAGAAAGATAGCGACGCATGTAGGAACAAGAAGCTACTAATAACAAAGGGCATCGCTACTAGGAACAAGGGCATTACTACTAGTAGCAAGAAGCTACTAGGGGCTCCTGGCATCGCTACTAGGAGCAAGAACGCTACTAGTAGCTCCTGGCCTTACTGCTAGGAGCAAGAAGCTACTAGTAACAAATCGCTAGTCTTTCGTGGTAACCAGCTTCATAAAGGATCCCAATCTTGCAGTATGTAATCCATGCTGCCAGGGGTCAACACAGTGGTCCGGGAAAAGTATAAAGGACGTGGATAAACAGGCCGGAAAAGGTAAGGAGCATGACTAACCTTGACGACCGGTGATTACATGTAATTTTTTTCTGCTAAATTCTTTGTCGTTCACGAACTTCAAGTGATCACCCAATAGCGTTTCTTGGAGGGTTTATGGCACTTACAAAAACGTTCAGTTTGCAACAGGTGATTCCCTTGCAATTTGTGACGGTATGTATGTATGTCTCACGTAAATCATCCTTTACGAGGGCCTGATTAGCCAATTTTTGGAGATGGAATCGCATGATTGCCAAAAAAGCTGTCGGAGTGCGCCATTTGCAGTACATCCGTGAAGTAAATAGACCTAGTACAACTGCAAGCATCCTGAAGGACTTGGAATGAAGTGGCCCACAAGCGCGTTAGATTGATTTTGGGTCCCTTATTTGAGCTGATCTCAAGGCCAACACGTCGACTCTCCTTTGGTCGACTGGATCTTTAGCTTGGAGCAGTGTCTCAGCTCAAGAGTGGAATACATATTATATATATATATGTATATTGTAGTTAATTCAATTACAGACTAAGCATCGGAGCACGGGCTGCGCACGGCTCCAGGCGGGTGAAGGCGGAAGATGAGGAAGCTGCCTCATGGAGGCGACGACTTGGTGAACATCAAGAGCGACTCAATAGGGGCTCCTGGCCATACTTAGTAGGAGCAAGAAGCTACTAGGAACAAAGGGCATCGCTACTAGGAGCAAGGACGCTACTAGGGGCTCCTGGCATCGCTACTAGGAGCAAAAACAAAGACACACACTCTAGTAGGTTGGAGGCCATCGAGAGATAGAAACACATGAGACCCTGTGGGCACCAAAAGAAATACAGACATCCATCGATTTTGTGACTCAATTGTTTTTTGGTTGTTTTCTTGATGGAACTGGATGGCTCCACCAAGTCGTTTAGAGATAAGAAGTGCAAGAGACAGGGTGACTGGCAGTGAAAGCATGCAATTGTCCTAAAGAAAGCTAAGAGCAAGAGCGCTACTAGGGGCTCCTGGCATCGCTACTAGGAACAAGAAGCTACTATGGGCTCCTGGCCTTACTGCTAGGAGCAAGAGCGCTACTAGGAGAACTTACCTGATTCGCCGTGTTGTGTTCGCAGCCAGGATGAGGCCAGCCCTGGATCGTTCCAACAGTGTACAGGACAACATGAAATGATTCTGATCATCCCGTTGCACTTTCCTGTTCTTTTTTTCTTTTCTAGTTGTGAGAAACGAGACACAACAAAAACAAACTATTGGTGCATGTTTCCTTCCTTTTCCTTCCTTTTCCTTCCTTTTCCTTCCTTTTCCTT